CCTTTTATATAAACCAATGGTTAATTAATTGTAAAAAATGCAACATTAATTCCTAAATGCACATGCACTTACATATTATTTCAATTAATTATAATAGGATAAACATTCACAGACAAAAACATAAATAATTATCCAAAAAATGCCACGCAAATCCTAAAAATTATACACCAAGAAAATTTTGTTTTATTTTTTGATTTCTTTTGGAGTAATTTTCGTGAAGCAAAAATCACGTGCTCACAATTGTCAACCTACAATTTGGCATTTGGAATTGCTTTTCTCGATTAAGCACATAATTTTCAGATTATGAAATCAAGACAATTCATCTTGATAATGCTGGTTTATATCCAAGCTGGTTTAACATTGAATACCTCCTATTAATGGCTAAACCATTGCTTATGAGAACAAAGCTTCATGTGTTGGTCTAAGATTTTCTAAATTGCATATAGCAGCACTTGTATGCATCAGATCAACAATATATGATAAGTCCTCCCTTCACAATTGGTTTAGGATCAGAAACCAAATATTTTTACTATCTTTTGTTGTGTGGCATATGATTAATTTCTCGACCATAATACACAAAGATATGTTTCCCAAAGATGATTGGGGATATATGTTAGTAACATTTGGGGGATGGAATAAACAGTTGAAAAATATGCTATATGAATCGAATTATCATGATCCTCACTTAGAAGATAATTCAAGTCGAATGCCAGAAGCATTTGCTGATCCAAAATTAAATATCATATTTCAGCTGCAAATGCTCCTATTAAAATTAAAGTCCCTGAAGGATAGAGTTTACTGTACGCATGAAGCGTGGTAGACCAATCGGTTCCAAAGGTAACAATCCTTGAAAAATAGTAGGAGCTAATGATCAAAATGAGGAGGAAATAAGCTCTAGAAGAGCCCACGACATAACATTTCATAAAATTCCCGAAAAAGTTCAGGTACCTGAAAATAAAGAAAGTGATGAGATCTCCACAAATTATGTCGCTTCACAACTGACACAAAATGATCGTCGACGATATATTTAATACAATATAGTGCACAATATTGTAAAAGATTATGAGGATCGGACTAGAAGTCCAGACACTTGAAGATGTCATGCCATTTAGATACAAGTCTTAACCTATATGACTTATTTGGTTAAATCTATATGAAGATCCTTGAAGGATTGAAAATGC